GAGGTACCTTAGCTCTTGTCAGCTGGGACATACCTGGGCCATCTGCAAAGATCTCAAGATCAAATCTGAAGACACTCTCAGGAAGCTTCCTTTTCAGTCAGCTATGTAACATTCCGAGGGAAAAAAGCTTTATCTGATGGCTCATTTCCATATTTTAGTATCTCATTTTCAGTATATAATGTTGTATTAATTTCCCCCCTCCTTCGAGTATTAATGCTAAGCAATGCGTGTTGAGCTACTTCTTTAACTTTGAAATGGCAAAATCCAAAATGATACATTTGTGTGTGTGTTTGTGTGCAGGATAGATGAATTGCATTAATACGCCACTTGAAGGCTGCTTGATTTAGCAGCTCTGGCAAGTGATGTTACCACTGTGGAGGCTGCTCGAGAGTCTGGAGAGCCAAAGACAGCCTTCTCTGAAAGTCATCATTTCATCTTTATTTTTGGCACAATGGCCAAATGTGCTAATTATCTATCTTCACCATCAGAGGAGGTTGAGCAAAGACCAGGAGATTAATGATGGCTTAGATAACATCGTTCACTCTCGAAAGATGCTAAGAATATGATGGAGGCATTTTCGGAAGTGGCTCAGCTCTCTCAGTGTCCAACATATCATTGTGAATATATATCAAACATGGTGAGGAGCGTAAACAGAGCATTAGTCCTGTGAAGGAGAGTCCATCATTGTAAAAAAAAAAACCTGCATTCATTCAAGTCTAATTACAATGAGGAAACTATCTTATCAACTATATTACTTTACTAAATGGCGCTTTTAATAACCTGAGTCTCCAAACCCTCAGCCCTTCCTTCCACTTTCACACAGGATGACAAACACATAGACTCGTTTGTGTGCACAAACTCATATATGCAGGTTAATTAGAGTGATTGATATCAGCATAGCTTTGACAGAAGGTTTATTTGCAAGGGAAATTAGAGAATAAGGAGCTTGTATTAAACATTTGCCTGTTCATCACAGGGGGTCCACTAATTGTCTGAGACATGCAGCAATTTCCAACCTATTTATTCCTGGCACACACATTGTATAGGCCACACTTATTGTTGTGTGCAGGTGCCTCAGGAGCTCTAGAGTCTGTATCTGTGATTGTGAGCCACTGTCCCCATGGTGCTGCTACGCTGCACTGCCACAATGATAATGATAATAATTATAATGATTATTAGTGGTAGTTTTCATATTAGCAGTGAAATAATGATGATTATTATCATATATATTTACCACGCTTCATATGGAACTAACTTTTGCTGAGTTCTCTCTCATCATACACTCTCTCTCTCTCTATCATTCTCTCTCTCCTCTCTTCCTCTCTAATTCAGTTAATTCCAATTCAGTTTGCTTTATTGGTATTAGCCTTAAAATATTAAACACAATTCATGAATTATTAGAAAAGAATACACAGAATAGAATAGTAAAATGACAGCTGTCCATCTATAACCAACTTCTGTTCTGTTTCTTCCTGTTTTTTTGTTTTGTTTAAATTTAGATTTTTGTCGCCAAGCACTTACTCATGGGGGAAATGTGGAGTCTCTAAATAATGTTATAAAGACTATACGGTAGTGAAGGAAGTACTTAATCATTTCATCTCAGTAAAAGTACAAATAAATACTCAAAAATGTCCTACAAAAGTACGAGTACAACAATAACCTTTCTGATTAAGTAACCAGTGACACTGCTGTTGCAGGAGGCGGGTCTAATGTTACCTGCCCAATGTTACCTGCGGGTCTAATGTTACCTGATTGGATCAGTGCATCAATTCCCTTCTTGTTATTGATTACTTTACAAAAATATAGAAAACTATGTGTACATGTATGCTTTGCAAAAATGTCGTAGAGTAGAAAGTATAGATACAGTATTTGCTGATATATGTGGTGGAGTAAATGTGAAGAGTAGCTGAAAATAACTAATAATAAAGTTACTTCCCACCACAGAGAGTACAGTCTCACTGCTCAACATGAAGAGTGTCCTTAGATGACTCTGTTCCATCTAAAACAGAGAATGTCTACAATACTGAGTCTTTCTGCCTGTTGCACTCCCCTGATGAGACAATCCCAGTACAATGTACTGCCTCATTAAACCTTGTGGACTGACACTTGATCACAGCTCCAACAGCTCCCACTGTTGCTGTTATGTACAGTTGCTGCACTCTGACTCAAAGCAACGCTCCGTCTCCAAGGTGACAACACATTTACATTGTAGCCATGGACACCACATCTATCACTTCGCGCATGCCGTTCAGTGACTTGCAAATCAAAGAGGATTCACTCATTCTGATGTCAAGGCAAGCTCGACTACGTCTTTCACAAACCCGGCAGAAATGCAAATACAGCAACTCTCTCGCATGCACAGATAATGTCATTACAGAGGTGGACTGACAGAATAATCAATGTATATCAATTGCTTGGCTTCTGCACAAAAGTGCAAAGTGCACTTCCTCCTTGCAGATTTGCACACAGCTGCTCTGGTGTCCAAAGGAGGCCACTGGGTGCATGGCATGAGGTGAATGATAAGCATGTCCCTTGGCCTGATGATATGATATTCCCAGCCGGGTCATTGGAGTCACTCCTCGTCCTATTGCAGCTCTGGCTTTGTATTATTGAGCCTGGGCCCTCCAGCTGTTTAGAGTGCCATATTTCAAATAATCGAGTCGTGGGATACGGGAGGGGAGCAACTGTGAGTGTGCCTGTATTAGAGGTTGTGTGTGTGTGTGTGTGTGTGTGTGTGTGTGTGTGTGTGTGTGTGTGTGTGTGTTTGTCATGATATGTGTGTGTCATGGATTTTGACTCAAATGTCAAAGGTAGGTGAGTAGTAGGTTGTCAGTCTTACAAGATGAGGCCGTGAGAACACAACACTTCCATTAACCCACAGAGACAAGCGTATGTGTGTGTGTGTGTGTGTGTGTGTCTCCGCCACATATACTGCTCCACAGATACTGCACTTCTTTTCCTTTGTTTCACAGTCTGCATAATACTACGGTTTATAGACATGGACATTGTCTTAAAATCTATATTCAAGCTGAATAAACCCACCTCTTTCCGTCTTGATGATTGAGTTGAAAGAAACCATTTTCCCTTTCTTAAAAAGAATTGCGCGCAGTCGACGTTTTACCAATGAATATTTAAAAAATGTAACGTCTGCAGAAATGTCAAAGCGTTTTTCTGTTGCTTCTTGTTCTGATACAAAGCAGCAGTGCTACATCGCCTCTCGGCTGATGCAGGTTGTCAGCTGGGATTCTGAAAACGATGGGGCTCGGAAAGGTTTGATCAACGTCAAATATACACAAACGGATAAATATCAGGTGCTGCAAGGTTTCCTGGTGGATTGTTGGCAGGCCAACCACACTAGAGCCTATAGATTATCCACATCTTTGTTTGCCCACCTGCGGTATATGTGCAGTTATCATACAGTGTACAGTGTTAATGTCATTATGGGTCATAACCCCATCCACGACAAAATCTATCATGCATGCTCACGGTTCATTATTGCAGTGTCACGATTTCTGCCTCAGCAATGACTAATACATAGATACACATTGCTTTCATATATTCCAGACATATACTGACTTGATTTTTCGTTGCCTGTTGGTTTTATCCAACAGATTAGATTGGCCCTCTCCATCCAAGGGTTTTGATGCTGACTTAGACGCCGCGGAATCAAATCAACAAACCTCAAGGACGGAGCTGAATGGCCAACAGCTGTGCTACTCTGCACATAATCTGTCTGTCTCCTCCAAGGTCAAGCTGAGAGCAAGATGTTAAATGCAGAGATACCAATGACCACACATGACAGAGAGGTTAACATATTCAATGTGCATTGGACAAGAGTTTTGCTTCATTTTGTTCCATGTCACATGTTTATTTTCTGATTGTTTTCATAGATGATTGGAGGTAAAAATCAGTGCCACCTCTTATCAGCCAACTCACATTGATTAAATCTCACCTTTGTTTATTTTTGTTGAGCTCACAACTGTACAAGCAGATGTCAGGGGCTGCAGATTGAGTTATTTTTACATCTGAGCGTGAAGGGAGATGAACGCTGTGCGCGGGTTGACACGCTTTCTGCTCTTACTGTTCTTTCATCGAGGGACATTTCTCTCAGCACCCTACCTGTCAGCAGCAGCGGTTGTTACAGCTGTAACATCTCCAATCTGACCCACTTCTGTAGAATGTCAGATGGATCGTGATCATGGTGGCAGCTGAGCCTGGAATTTGATTACAACAAGACTGCTTGATATACAACACGCCTACACACATACTCCACCATTACAGACAATAACCCCTCGATTCATTTGACATCGCTGCCGTAGAAAAACGTAATAACTCCATTATGTTACAATTTGTTTCTTTCTTGTTGTTAAAATACTGTTATTTTGTTGATGTGTTCAGTTACATGACGGCATACTGTGTGTATACTATGTTGTACTGTGTACTATGTTTTGAGTACTTATTATACTGCATACTTACATGTTCTGTTTACTTATATGTGTTCCACGGGGATCAGGAGAAAAGGCATTTTATCCCATCTATGTCCTCATGACAGAACTCGCAATAAAGTTGACTTTGACTTGATAATCCAAAAAAATTAAAATATATATGTTTGTGTATTATCTTTATTTTATGCACGGTTATAGAGAATATTAATGCTCCCCTGCTTATTTAGAGCAATGGTGCTCTTCATTATTTACGCAGCATCCGTAGACCAACATCTTTTATTTTCATAATTTTATTTCCAATGATCAGTCAGTGAGTTTTCTGGATTATCTTCTGCTTCTGTCGAATAGTGGCATCTGGTGGACTAAAATCAAACAGCACACAGGGTACATGAACCAGATTATATTATAAATAATAATATAGATAACAAATATACATCATATATGTATTATAAATAATATAATGTCAATACGGGGACGTTTGCTTCATTCTAATTCAGCATTTACAAAAAAAAACCGCTGCAGCACTAGGAACCTTTTCCCGGTGCTGAGCTCAACACGGACGTGATTAAGGTTGCACCAGTAATGCTGCTCACCTCTGTAGCAGCTCACGTCTTCACCAGTCAACCGTTGTTTATCTCACCGCTTCACCGCTGGATGACAGCGACAGTATCCACGCGTGTCTGTGTCGTCGGTTGAAAACTTTGCACGATGCATCCGAGGCCCTGAGAATGAGAGAAGGGTGAGTATGTGGCTCTGGTGGCTAGTTCTGTTAGCAGCAGCAGCCGCCAAGAGGCAGATGCTAGCTCACTCGTTAGCATGGCTGCTACCGAGCTAAACAACTGGATCGTGTTTAAGAAGCTTCTCTTCGGTTTCGTGGTCGTGTCACTCGCGCTGTTTTTCAGAGTCCCGTCGAATAGATGTCTCTGAGCGATCTCTGACATTAGCGGTGAGCTAATGTTAGCCGGCTAGCGTCCACAGCTCCTCCAGTCTCAGGTGGGGATCGTCGCCAGCTGGGTGGGGTCGTGACAGTTTTCAGATTTTGTGATCTCGATCAACTGATATTGATTCAGTGACCAGCGACCTCAACCGTGTCTCGCCTGTGCTGCTGCTGTATGCTAGCTCCATCTGTTTCTACATGTGCCCACGCCAGGTTAACCAAAGGTGGGGTTCACGTTTCATCAACACTGGCTCTCTTTGGTTTTACCTGGATGCACCAGTCTGATCCAGGTAATCAGGTGAAGGCACAGCAGTGTGTTCGGTCTGTGTGTGTGATGGTCACTGAATCTGTGCCAGTCACGTAGACACAACGCGTTTTTATCGGTGCATGAACACAGGATATTTAACGCAAAGTGCTGTTCAGGAGCCGAATTGACTGAACGACAGAATCAGTCCACGTTGGTTCAGTGTTCCATTTAGTTTTTAAGGCTTTTGTGTTCATGCTTCATCTACGTGTCATTATTTGATTGTCTTCTTTCTGTTTTATTGTTGTATCCATCACGTCTGCAGTGTTGAACACACTAAACAAACCTGGAATATTATAATGTCATATTTTTAATGTGTACGGAATCCCATGTAATTTTATGCTGATTATATAAGCAATTTATTAGGCAACATTTTCTATTAATTAAACAAAGAATAAACGCTCTAATCCATAACAACTTTATTTTCATTATTATTATGCAGTAATGCTGAGATTCATGTAATGTTTATTAATCATATTTTTCATGGTCAAATTAACATTTCCTTTCAGATTCCTATAAATCATTTCCCTGTTTCTTTCTCTCACTTCTCTGTCTGTGTATTTTCAGTGTGTTTGTTGTGTGACTCAGCTCGTGTCTAGCCATGGAGAAGCCCTGGAGGCTGTGGGGGGCGATGGAGCGTTGTACCTTCGCCCTGGTCTCCTGGTCCTGGGGTGCCTGTCGAGTCTCCCTGTTGGCCCTCATCCTCACCTTCCACCTGTATGGAGGATTTTTTCTCCTCGCTCTCATCCTGGCCTCAGTCGCAGGCATCCTCTACAAATTTCAGGATGTGCTCCTCTACTTCCCGGACCAGCCGTCATCCTCTCGTCTCTATGTTCCCATGCCCACAGGAATCCCACATGAGAATGTCTACATCCGCACCAAGGACGGTGTGAAGCTCAACCTCATCCTGCTTCGTTACACTGGAGGGGACACGCCCCCTGGAGTCACCCCTGGCAATCAAAGCAGCCCAACATCCTCTGCTCCGCCTACCATCCTTTATTTCCATGGCAATGCCGGCAATATTGGTCACAGGGTGCCAAATGCCCTGCTGATGCTGGTCAATCTAAAGGCCAATGTAGTGCTGGTGGACTATAGGGGCTATGGAAAGAGTGAGGGTGAGGCCAGTGAGGATGGGCTGTACCTAGATGCAGAGGCCACACTGGACTATGTCATGACCCGTCCTGATCTGGACAAGACAAAGGTGGTACTCTTTGGCCGCTCACTAGGAGGCGCTGTGGCCGTGCGCCTGGCATCAGCCAACCCTCACCGCGTAGCAGCCATTATTGTTGAAAACACCTTCCTCAGCATTCCCCACATGGCAGCGACACTCTTCTCCTTCTTACCTATGCGCTTGCTGCCCCTGTGGTGCTACAGGAATCAGTTCCTGTCCTATCGACAGGTGGCGCTGTGCCGCATGCCCTCGCTTTTTGTGTCTGGCCTGTCAGACCAGCTCATCCCACCAGTTATGATGAAACAACTGTATGAGCTGTCTCCTGCACGGACTAAACGCCTGGCCATCTTTCCAGAGGGAACACACAACGACACGTGGCAGTGTCAGGGCTACTTCGCTGCTCTGGAGCAATTCATGAAAGACCTGCTGAAGAGCCACGCCCACGAGGAGAGTAGTCAGACCTCAGCGAGCGTCACCATCATCTGAAAACAAATCTTAGAAGGACTGTCGACTACTATTTAGGGGAAAACTTGATTGGAGGGACTTAATTGGTTTTTGGAAAGAATGTACATTTTCTATGCTTTTTCTGGGTTTTTATTTAATCTTACTCTCTCTGTGAATCTAACATTTATCAACATGTCTATTTTGACTATTTCAAGGAAGTTTGAGCAGGTAACAAACCCTCAAGTGATCTTTTGTGTTGCAGCTATGAATGCATGTTTTTATGACATTTCATGAATGACTCCAGAACATACATACCCACACTGCAATGTCACAACCACCGAAGAATCAGCTGCAGTGGGTCAGCAGAAATGAATTCAGATTTAATGACAATTTAATGACCATACAAGGACCATGTTTCAGAGAAAGTTGATTACTACTACAAATGAACACTTCTTTTAGTATACAAAATCAGACAATGATAATATGTAGGCCTATACTGCATATATACAGTACACTCATATATATATTAAATCTGTTTTCTTATTTTGCACTTTTTTGACCCTTTTGTTCAGATTTTTGTGTTTGCGAACATAAGCAGGATCTTTGTTTTTTTTTCTCCACCCTTTGGGCTAGGAGTACTTGCAGAAGCTTGGCATGTCATGACAGTGTGGTGATTAATATTTATATATTTGACTGGAAATTTTGTCTGGTACAGTAGCTTAACAAGAGCTTGTGCTATTGAGTAACTATTCAGTCAGGAAAAAAAAAATTAAGTGAGATGAAGTTGTCAGAAAAATAAGGTGACATGCTTCATACTTCTGCCTTGAAAAATAAGTTCTTCAGATCTTCTTTTCTGACGGACTGCTTCTGTTTCAGTGTGATTGAAAGAAGCTATGACAGATCTCTTTGTTACTGTGTACTGTTAAAACACAACTAGCACACAATGAGTTTACCATCAAATGGCCTCCAGTTGCTTTTGAGAAACGTTGGATCTTGTAGTTTGGTGTGGAGCATTTACTCCATGTGTGGTTTGTTATTAAAGAATGGGTTCAGATTTCTTCAAGTCTAACACAATCTAATGTCTTTATGTACTGAGAGAGTTGATGATTGGGATTGATACTGACTCCTAATGCCTCATTTAATGCACAAAAGATATTCTAAGGTTGAGCAGAAGCTAAGATGAGTCTGTGGCCGACTAACACAGAGTTGGTATTTTTTAGGGTGAAGTCTAATGAGTAGAAAATTCCATCATCTTGTTAAGAACGATGTTATATCCTTATCCAGGTCCGAACCTTCAGGTGGCAAACAACAGTGGTAGAACCTCAATAAGAGTCAAAATCAACCAAATTCAGTGAAAGTTTTTTATCTCATTAAATCAACTTCATTTCACACAGTAATTGCTTCTATGCTGCTAGCAAGTCTAGCTAGCTAACGTTAGCATACACTTCAATTTACTCTGTTCCACCATCTGAGATCAACAATTAAAGCGAGGAACGCAGAAAATACCTGAGCTTGGCCCCGGAAACAGATATAACACGTCACACCTTAACAACTGATTTCCTCCAGTGCAGATCAACACGTTAGGGGGTAGCACGTGTGTAAACACTGAAGTAACTGGACTTGATCGTGAACCAGTTGCCGATGTACACATGCACAACTCGTGAAGATATGACAATCTGTACCAACACAGACAAATTCATATTCCATTAGAGAAACATTTGAAAATAGATACTTTTATTTGTCTAACAGACTTATGAAGCCTCATATGAACTTTGAACCTTGAATGAATTTTTATTCAGAAAAAGGGCTGTTGATATTGCCCCCTGTACATTGTTCACACTAGCAAGTGATTTCCAAACAGCTGTTAAACACAGGAAGGAAGAGAACTTACAATTTTTTCAATCAGGTGTCGTAATCATTTGTTAGCAATTGTCATCTTTCCCTTTTCTCAGTGTGGAGTAATGGCTTTACTCACTCGGAGGGCTTCTTATGAGTCGATAAACTTTTCTCACATGTCTTCCAGGGGACGGAGCAGAGCTGGATGATTAAAACACTGTTATCTGCTCGCTGCACTGCGGTGGTATCAAAGCCATTTGAAAACACTGATCTCTAGCCATATTTGATACAGTACGCTGAACAAAATCCCACATCACCTAAAGGCCAGATTATGTTTGTGTCAGAGTGATACCAACTGAAATGGACTGAAGGCTACTATGAATGTAAATTCTGGTCTTAAATTAACAAAGTGTGCTTTATAAGGAATTATTTATTGATCTGTTTCCTCCCTCTCATGTGACATTCGACCAGACATTTTTGTATTATATTACAAATCCATATGCTGACTTGAATGCATCCATTTATCAGAATTTGATCCCATCACATGGGGAAAGCACATTGTGCAACCGTGTGAATTTACACTCCTTTCGTTTTACACTTTTGCTTTACACACTTCTGCTGTTGGTTTGCATCTGTGTCATTTCTTCATTCAAGAAAATAAGCTGGGACTTTTCATCATCTATTTGATCTGTTGTTTCAGTGGCTGCTCTAAAGCAAATGGAGTATAAGAGTTTCAGCCAAATGTCCAACATCCTGTCGATGAAAAGAAAACTGAATGTCATTTTTTTCTTTTAGAAATATAATTTGCAAGCTACTGCAGGACTGTGGGACATATTTTTTGTATGTTCACATAGTTTTGAACTGAAGGAAGTGAACGCTGGCGAAAGTGTGGGTTTCATTTTGAAAATTGGCATGTGATAATGTAGAGTCATGAACCTGAACCGTGCCGACATACTTTGTGTACATTTGCGATGACTTGCAGTAACTCCACACTGAAGAAAACAATGACATCTGAATGATTCCTTTATCTCCATTTTGAGTTTCCAAACCAATGGTAACAACTTGTTTTGTAAGCACACATTTTCACTTTCTATTTTCTGTACTGTAACATGCAATAAATTGATACATTAAAAGTTCGTGTTTTCTGTAATTGTTTCATGCAACAGCTCCAAATTGATCCATATAACTTGTCACTTGACTTTTTTATTGTTTGCTTTTCTGTTATGTTGCCATTCAGAGTTAAAGTTATTTTTTGTACTTCCTTCTTTCACTCTCTAAATTTCTCTTTCTTATGAAATGCCTCTTTCTTCTTTTGCAGTCTCAAATCAGTCGCCCTCTTTTTCTGCGAGACTGTGGCTCATGTCATCGTCTTTCCTGTGCCCACTCCATCACACACCTCACTCGTTGTAATGTGGATAAGCTGAGATGTGTTTTATCATTTTGAAGCAGCCAGATGGACAGAAAGAGAGACAGGAGCAATGTTTGTGGGCTGTTGATCAGGCCGGAAGCTGAGTGTGGTTAGCTTAGCGGAACAATAGAGGGGAAGCTGTTTTTTTTTTTTTTCCAAATATAAACTGAATATGCTCTGCGTAGTCCCTCAAACTTAAGTAGAGCCGGCTACAGGAGGAGAGTTAAGAGAGTCAGTTGAGAGGAATCGAGACAGACACCAAAATCCACCCTTCCACCGCAAAGTCTGACTGAGGAGAGGCCCCGCGGTTCAGGCGTGAGACCAGTCATGCTGCCAGTGTGACCTCTCAAGGGACCGTACGGGCTGCTGTGATGGCAGTTCTGACAGGTGTGAAGCCTGGGACAGGACACGAGGAAGGTGAAAGGAGGCTTTCCTGGCTCGTTTTCCTCCTGACACTCGCCGCTGTCACCTCGTCCTCTCTTTCAGCTTTGTCCCTGTACAAGCTGATCGCTCTCAGAGCCGAGGTGGAGGGACTCAGGGCGGAGGTCAGTCGAAGGAGAGAGGAGGGTCAAGAGGTTAATCGTGGAGGCCAGGTGAGAGGCAACATAACAACACACACAGGGTTGTGGAGACGTGCAGGACGTTGTGTTTTACCTGCAACTACTGTGTTTGTAAGGACTGTTGTGTCTGCACAGAGTGAGAACATCAGGAGAAGCAGCCAAGAGACGATACAGCAGCGACCTGCGTTCACCCTCATCAGGACGAGGAGGATGGTGGCTGGAGCAGAGACGTTAGGTAAAACTAAGGAGTTTGCACCTCAGTCTGACAGTTTACTGTTAAAGTAGTGATTTCAATGTTTTTGGTAACTCGTGAAATCCACACAGTATATGATCATTTTCAATACCTGTGTTTTAGATCTTTAATCCAGTCCTTAATTTTAGGATATTTCCCACTTCATGTGCATGATGTTATTTATGTGGCTCCAAATCATACATTTGTTTCAGATGACTTTTACAGTTTTTACACTCTCTTTATTTGGACCCATGAAAAACAAGGAAACGTTCCCCAGAACAACAGCAGACTAAATGCCAAGTGTGAATGAGTCATCAGCTCTGGTGATAGCCATGTTATCAGTAAGAAGTTGCAAGTCCTTGTGGTTAACTGATACTCTGACTGTTCTCACCATCTGGTTGTGCAATATAACGATTCCCAGGGGGGAAACAGAATTTTTCTTTCACCCAAAAAGAAAAAGTGAAAAGAGCAGAAGGAAAATGAGAGACATCCGTGGAATGAACAGCGTGCAGGCTGCAGGACTGGTTTTAACGTCCCTTACATGTCTTTTGTCCCAGTTTCTCAGCCTTGTCTTCAGCTGCTGGCGAACAACAGCAGGAAAACCTTCAGGAAAGGTACTGTCCTCACATCAGACATTATCTCAAGGCTCTTTTTACATAGTGAGGTCGAGACCTTACAGTATCGTAGAGTAACCCGACAGTTCCCACAACAAGCAAACACTTGGCGACTGTGGAGAGGAAAAAAAAACAGAACTGAACTCAGTGTGCACGGCCATCTGCCTCGACCGGCTGGGGTGAGTGGGGGTCAATGGGGGAGAGAAGAGAGAGACACCCTAACCCTTTGAGCTCTGTCAGACTGGCTGTTTTAACAAAAGAGAGAATGATACTAGATGTAAATATTGTAGTTATTATTATTATTATTATTATTATTATTATTATTATTATTATTATTATCATTATTACTATTAGTAGTAGTAATAGTGAACATAGATTGTTACTATCCAACCAGAGATACAAGGTTCTATGATTTTATAAGGTGAGACAGAAAAACTCCTTTGGGCCCCAGTCAGACCTAAGATTAAATATGATCACATGTTAAAGAGCCTTGAGCGTCATCTTCTTTGTTTTATAATGTTCAATGTTAACAGTGTTGTCATGTTAACCTTTTGTGATTTTAATGTAATGTCAAATGTTTGTATTTTTGCTTCGTCATGTCTACATTCTTGTTGCATGCGATGTTGTAAATTGAGCTGCTATACAACGCTAAACAGATTTCAGATGATATAGTATCATCATCATCATCATCATCTTCATCAATAGTAGTAGTCGTAGTAGTAGTTTTGTAAATAATAATAGTCCAGTAGTGTCACATCTAGATTCTTGCAATTAACATTAAATACCTATAATTCAAAATAACATTTCAACACAGAAAATGATATATTCATGTATGAATCAACCCTGAGCTACAACGAGCTTGTTGAATCCTGGATCAGATTTTAAGCTTTATATGCGTTGCCATGTTTTCTCATGTATATTTGAATTTGTTTTGATCAGAATTTGAGTTGGAGCCTCACACAGGCATCCCGTGGCAGGCTGGACTGAGGAGGGGCTCGGCCCTGGAGACAGACGGTGACAGCATCTTAGTCAGAGAGGAGGGCTTCTTCTTTGTGTACAGTCAGGTACAGACTCTTTGTTGTCATTGCATAGTTTCTCCACATGGAGGCATCACTGCTCTGTCTGACATTCATAAGATTTTACATAGTAGGGGTACATCTCCATATTGTGATGAAAAACGTTTTTTTCCATCTAAGCATACAGTTGGTTAACAGACCTGGAAGAGATGCACGCATAATAAACCACAAAACAATTACTCCACCATTCACCAGACTGTTAACACTTGATACAACTCACACGATCCACATCCCATAGAGTTAACCCAGTAAATCTGGATCACACAGGTCTTCTACATGGACAGCACATTTGCAATGGGTCACGTGGTGATCCGGAGGAAGAGGAACGTGGTGGGAGACGAGCCTCAGTATGTGATCCTGTTCCGCTGCATCCAGAGCATGAACCCTGTCCACCCTTACAACACCTGCTACACAGGGGGTGAGCCAGTGGTCACTTGTTTTACAGCTGCTGGAAGACAGCATGTTTTTCCTTGAGTCAACCTCAAGTGTGTGTGTGTGTGTGTGTGTGTGTGTTTGTGTGTGTGTCTGGCTGCATACTGAATGTGCATCAGAAAGTGGGTGATAGATGTCTGTGGAAGGGGGAAAAAAGGGAAAATGCCATTTCTAGGTCTGATGGGTCCATGTGCATCCCTCAGGTATTGTGAAGCTGGAGGTCGGTGACCACTTGGAGCTTCTGATCCCACGCTCCACAGCCAGCGTGTCCCTGGACGGAGACGCCACCTTCCTGGGTGCTGTCAAACTGGCCTGAATTGTGTCCCCTCACCTTGGACCCGTGGGACGCTGCTGTCATTGGAAAAGAGGTTTCATACTGGGAAGCTTGACTTTGGATGTTCGAGGGAAGAATACAGGAAGAAAACATGAATACTGAATGATTGAAGACTGTTGCATGTTTCATACAATTTACTTACATGTACCTTATACTATAGCTCGATTGTATTCATTTTAACTGCACATCAGGACAAAATATTCTAAGAAAAAAAGCCAGAATCAGGTAATATTTCCTCAGATATTTACAAATACATGATATGACTTGAAGGTTATGTGTCACTAGTGTGAACTCATTCTTATACTGTTAAATTCATTAATAATCTTTCCATCAGTACCAGCTGCATCACTGTACCACTGAAATAGTTTTAACCTCACATGCCTCGTTCTTTCAGCAGTTCTAAGTCTGGTTGTCATCTCAATGCCACAGTTTTGTTTTTGTCTACTTGCACATGTCTAAATTATATGACATTAAAGTGAGCCTTAAGCGATGACATCATCTGGAGTGTGGTTTGAAGTTGTTGTTCTAATAGTGGCCACTAGTGGAAAAAAAGGCAGCAAAGAGACAAATCAAACTGAGGCTGAGCAGGAACAGACAGAGTTAAGAAGAAGAAACAAAAAGCAATAGTTCAATGTTTCGATGATCCTTAGAAGAATCATTTTTTGTGATGATCATATGATATGAATATAACGTCATATCGTGTTTTATAAACATCTGCTGCATAAATCCATGAATCAAAGCAATTTGTGATTATTGTTATTTGTTTAGTGATTATTATACATGGTTTTGCATAACATGACATGACAATGTCATGTGTATGGATAATCCGCTACAGAAGTTTTGTGTGGTGGTCGCTCCTCTTTTCAAATTTTGAAAAAACTTGAATTAATTCTTCCATGTCTGTGTGACAAAGACAACGAGCATTTTGGCAAAGCAAATAAGGGAATTATGTGAAAAAATTACTAACAGATTGGATTAACATAAATATATAAAGTAAAAATGTCAGACTATAAAAGAGTAAGGGATTCACATTGGGGTGAAAGATGCCTCCTAAAGGTTTGGGGTACAACTCTCCAGGAAAATCTTATTCTAAGGGACAATAAATTAAACTTAACCCAACGGCCAACTTCAAAGATTAAAATTATAAGTGAATAATAAACAATAATTCAGTTTTGGGTGCCTGTTTAAAATTTAAAAATATAATAGCATCCAGCTATTTGTTTTGTTTCAGGACCCTGTCGTCTTAAACTCTCAAAAAATACCATATTTCACTCAGTATTTTATTTTGGGGGATTTCTGGGATTTCTCACCACCTGCCACACTCTGTCTGTTTGTCCCTCACACACACACACACACACACACACACACACACACACACACACACACACACACACACACACACACACACACACACACACAGACGTGTTTGTTA